CCACCACATTCGCCGATTTTAATGCCAATCTTTAGTTGATATTTATTAGTTGACCAGTTGTCGTTTTGAACGCAATTTTTCTGTCAGACTAGTTCAGGGCACTGTTGTTCACTGTACCAACAACATTCTTACATATTGCATCGCTTTTCTGCCAGATAAGTTAGCTTTTTGCAAGCAGCTGCAAGACCTAAATAAAAATCATATCTAAATTTTTAAATAGACTTTTATAAAAACGTTATTTCGAGCGGCTAAAAATGAAAATCTTATACTAGCCTCTGATTACTCATCTTTCGTTCCATATAGGTGCTTTGTTGCTTTTCCCTGCTACTTTTCGAGATATGCGCCAGTAAACCATATGATGTAGGGGCAATTGTCACCTCGCCGCTCTACTGACGGCCCGGCGCTCTTTAAAGCGCCGAAATTTATGAAAAACGAATGCTTATATTCTGAATAAAATATATGTCCCTGAGCTCAGAATTGATCAACGCACACAATGCTGTCAAATTTTTTGGGCCAAAGTCAATAATTAAGTCATTATGAACCCCCAAACACAAGTCAGTGATAATCAACAACAACTTGCTCTTTAGTTAGACTTTTTGAGAAATGTTATTTCGAGCCGCTAAAGATGAGCATGTCATGCAAACAACTAGTCAATTGTCTGCCATGCCCTATTGACGATTATTGCCTATTACTGCTACTTTTCGAGATATCGTCTGCTTAGTCACCTGAAATAGCTGCTATGCCACCCTACCGCAGTGGGCGCCTACAATTTGTATATCTCGGATTTTTTATATCCGTGACCTAAGGTCAGGTCAGTGGCGAAACCTTTCCATTACAAGTCAATGGAGAAAAATGAAAATGCCCCTAGATCCGTGTGTACGCATCGGAACAGTCCAAATATTTCAGAATCACAATGATTTAGTCCACTCGTGATGACCAAGGTGTCGTTTTTGCTAATAGCCTCTAGACAGGTCATCCGAGGTCACTTGAGGCTACAAACAGTTTTTTGCCAATAACTCGCGATTGGAAAGAGATAGAACGCTGGGGATGGTCTCATTGTGTTTGCCTTGTTGAGACGCATCGACTGATATGCAACATGACCTTTTCCGGTAAGGTCATGACCTTGACCTGAGGTCAAATTTTCAACTTGACTTTTCAAGGTCAAATTATAGTTCATTCGACGCGTCTCGGCGAGAGGAACACGATTCTGGCAATAGAAATGTCGTGGCTTTTTGTATTTGAAAGTTATTGTCGAAAAACACTTTTCGTAAAAACAGCTATTTTTGGACTTTTTGCCCTCTGGAGGCCAAACCGTTGACCTGAGGTCAATATTGATAATGACCTTTTCAAAAGAAGAGTTCAAAAGCTATCGATTGCTCTTCCCTGCGTTATTCTAGCTACCATAGTTCCTGAGATAGCGGCATGTTTTCTGAAAAATATAATGACAATTGGCAAATTTTGACCTCTGATGACCTCTGGTGACCCCAATATTGCTCTAAGGTGAAAAATGACTGGGATACTTTCAAACGAACGCATTGAGAGCTATCGACTGCTTTTTACCGCGTCTTTCTAGCCCTCTTAGTTTTTGAGTTAGAGGTGGGTGGTAACATATGCCCCCCACTCACTAGGGCGAAGTTGGCTGAGACCGCCACTGGGGCGCGGGTTAAAGTTTCAGGGAATGAGGATGTTGACGCACAGTGTAAAAAATCAATTTCGCAAGGATAAACGCCTAACAACACGTCATTGCAACTTCATTGCAGCGCAAAATCTTGCATTGCTAGCGCCTAATACGCAACGGCTTTTGTTGTACAATGACCTAATCAGTGCCTTCAATCCAAGAAATTTGCTTTTGAACCCTGTTTTTGAAAATGGAAAAATAACTTTTAGCGTGGGGTAAATTGAACATAGTGTGAGAATTTCAATGAAGACAGGGATAGCTCCGAAAAAACAACGCTCCCAGTTTTTTTGCCAATATTTTCGACCCAAAGCAGTAGCAGATAAGTGATGCCAGTTTTAGAAAATTCACGTCTAATAGGTATCCGTCTAATGTCCGGCATTTTCGTTGATTTTCCGTCCAAAAATGTTAAATTCAACTATTTGTCCAAATATGTCCGAAAATTATGCAGCTATCAACACTCAAAACCGTCATTTATATTGGTTATCATGTAATTTTACCAGCCGAAAAGTGTTCATTATATTGAGAGCTTAACCCGCGCCCAGATGGGGTCTGCCGAGCAACGCGGTCTGATGGGGGGGGGGGGGGGGCATTTTGGCCCCCCCCCTCAGATCTCGAGAACCACGCAACATAGCGACAAGCGGTAAACGGTGTTGGATAGCCCCAGCGGGGAACTACCTTTTGACCCAATTTCATTGACCTCGGTCAAACCGATGACGTCACAGGTCAGGTCAAAGGTTGAATTTTCACCGTTTACAGGCATTTCAAGAAATGCGTTGTAAAATCGAGTAAAATGCATTTCATTGAAAATCATCGATGGAGAAATGTTCTTCAAACACATATTTTGCTATTTGAGGTCACTGATACCAGGTCAGGTCACAGAGATCAGGTCACTGGGGGGGTCACAATATGAAAGTGTCGTGTGATACATGTTTTATGGTTCATTTTACATGACAAATGCGATTATGTGGGTCAGACAGACTTTAGGGCCAGCGTAGGTCACGTTTTGGTCAAGGTCAGGTCAAGGTCAGGTCAAGGTCAGGTCAAGGTCAGGTCAAATTAGGTCAAATTTCAAAGTTGATATTTTTGCATAAAATAGGTATTGATTCGATGCAGCTCGTCACGGGGAGTTCAATGGTGGTCTCCGTTTTGCGCTACGAGGTCTAGAATTGCTAAAAATTGAGTTCAAAGATTTGACGTCATCAATTTTTAACAGTTTTTTCGCTATAACTTGGCAAAAAAAAGAGGTATCGATCTAAAATTTGGTATGTATATCGAAGAGCGCAGGGACTATCACATATATTCCGTTTTTTTCGAAATTCGAATTTTTTTTTGGATTTTTTAGAGTTTTTCTAAAAAAATCATTTTTTTTTATTTTTGGGGGTCAAAATCCCAAAGTTTCGAAAATCCGAGATAGCAGTTTTGTAGCGCCGTCTTTTCTCTACACAACCACATAAAGAACTTTAAAATTGCTTATTAACTGTAGAATTGGTGAGCGTTTCAAGATGTCATGTTTTTTGCTCATTTCTGCTCGAACATGACCTCAGTTTGACCTCAATAACTCCTGACCTAAGGTGACCTGTGACTTGAAATTTTGTGCGAAGGTGTCAAATTGATGCCCGGTAAGGTACCCAAAATTTGGCGGCGCTGCGCGCCGTCGTTTTCTCGCTATTTAAGAAAAACCACAGGGGGGGCAAAATGGCCCCCCCCCCCCATCAGGGCGCGGGTTAACCCGCGAGTTGCTGGGGGGGCGTTAAACGCCCCCACTTTTTTCGCCGGGCCATAGCATAAAAACGGCGCGCCGCAGGCGCGCCAAATTTTGGGGACCTGTAGGGAATCGTTTGAAGTTTATTGTGACAAAGTTTAAAAAAAAAATCGGTCGGAAAATTTTTGAGATATCGAGGTTTTAGTGACGTCATGATTTCTTAGTTTTCGACCAAAAACGGCATATGTTCAAAAAAATCATATAAAATCACAGAATAGACATACAGACATGCCGTAAACGCCATTAGACTACCAATACCATGAGCAATCAAATGGCTATCTTCGATTATTGATTATCGTTCCGCATTTTCCAAAATCTTGAACTGAATCTTGGCAATTTTTCGTGACTACTTCACGACCATGATACATGAATTTCTTTAATTGAACTTTTTGAGTCAAACACGTACACATATGATAAAATGAATGTCACCATCGTGTTCTACGCCCCAAATTACCTATAAAACATGTGTCACAGGCTGCGAATATCAGTTTTGATTTTCGGGGATATGTGCCTACCCGGTTGACCTGACCTTGACCCTGACCTATGCTTGACTGACCCCTATATGGAGCTGACACTCTTGTAGGCCTTATAAGATGGATTGTGCACCGTTTTGACAGAGTTTATGGCAAGAGGCGCCCATTGCGAAGTCCTGAAGTCCATGCTACTGAAAGCCCGATTTCAGGTGTTTGACCTGACCTTGACCCGACCTGTGACCTCAAAATTCAACTTTAAAGTACTCATCTGAAGCGTCTCGTCGCGCTCTTTCGTTTGCCGCCTCGTGCGTTTCGCTGCGCCTATTGGTTCTCGAGTTATTGGCTGGGGGCGTTTAACGCCCCCCCCCCCAGCAAACGGTGGGTGGCGAAATACCCCAGCAACTGCCGGGTTAATTAACAAGCTTTCCATTCGCCAATCAATGCTACGCACGATTACTTGATAAAAATGCTTAAGTGTGGCAGGCCATCGTCCAACGTTGTCCAGACTACTATACCTTTGTGCAATCAATTCCAAATTGGACGTTATAAAGAATCGGAACTCCGAATGTCCAGGTTCCGATTGGCACCACTATAACAGATAAAGTAAGGTTTTGTAGAGTTTTTATCGAACAGAGATGATAGACGATCTGTTAATTGAAGAGAGGCGAATTCTGTCAAATGACCGGTGTGCAGTGTGCAGATATTGATACTCTGCAACTCTTATTTTTGTTGTTGTGTTGATTTTTCAAATGATGGTATGTTTAGAATTGCTCTGCCTATTCGCTTATGGGTCAAACAACATCGGTGCTGGCGAGACTATCGTTTTTATGGCAGGTAAAGGCAGTATGTTCAAATTACCCCATGGTGGGGCAATTTGAACACACCGTGACTTGGTGGAGAAGTGATGCTATGCTATTCAAGGTATGCTCGGCTCGTCCAAAAATGAGGCTTGCATGGTGAAACCAAGTGACACATGCGCTACTGAAACAGTTTTTCTTCATCCAGGGTTGAGCTGGAATTTGGTACAACGGAGAAGACGTAAAAATATGTTCAAATTACCCCACACTACCCTATCTATCTATTTCAGACCCCCTGCCAGCATTGGCAGCACCGCCACCAGCACCGCCGGCCTCAGGACCAAGCCCACCACCAGCGGGCGTGAGTTCACCAGCGGAATCTGCTTATGATATACACATAATTTCCTGGGTCAATGACCTGTGTTCCGTTCCCCGTGTCCCGTCCCCGTGTATTTTTATATATAACGTCCTTCTTTGTGTTATATATGCTAACATAGACTACTCTATGTCAATAATGCAGTTGTCAGAATTACAGTAGCTAGTAGTAATAGTAATACAGTAGTGTATGGTGCTAATTAAAGTAAAACTAGTAACATACATATGACGTCATACATAAATCATCTGGAATGATCACCTGTCCATTTACTGTACCGGCAGGTTGACGGAGGCGGGTGTGCGGCTCTGGCGCAGCTGAGCCGTCGACCGCCGGAGCCAATCCGGCAGTCCGGCATTTCAGCTGCCGCACACTCGCCCGTCACAGGATCAGAGGCCTCCCAAGACAGGTTAGTTTCGGGAAGGTTTTTTTTTGGGGGGGAGAGGAATTGATGCTCTGGAATTACTTTTGTAGTTATACTTGACAACAAGCAAGCTGTTGATCATACCATTTCTCAATCATATCCAGGAATTTATATATCTAATGAAAACAATTATTTTAGCTATCTCATTTCAGGTGCAGCTGAGACGGCGAAGTTCACCACACCGCTCCTCGGGTGGTAATTAAAGGGACCCTCCCACCTTAACATTAGATTTGAGTTGAGATAGCCAAAATGGGGTCCCTGGCTCACAATTACCGGTTTCGGCACTCACAACATCGAGAAATGCCTTAAATCGGAAATATTGAATTTCAAAATTGCAGCATTTTGATTCAGAGGGGCTAATGCTTAGGAATACCCCTCTGAATGTGTGACGTCAGCGCAGATATCTAACGATTTTTAAATGTTTGACTAAAATGTTTTGTAGCACGCGGTGGTATATGCTATTTGCGCGCAGCATCTGCCGCAAACGCCGCACTTCTAAAATAAAGTCGCTAGAAACAGCGGAGATCCCAAAAAAGTAAACAAAAGTAAAAGTCTAATATCTTGAAAACCGGTGAATATTTTTTGGTGAAATTTGGTAGATATTCGTTTTCGCTCTTTCTGAACCGAGCGACATCACTTTCATGCCAATTCATAAACTTTTTTGAAGGTGGGAGGGTCTCTTTAAGTCCAATGTGAAATTGGAGAACGTTTGAAGAATGTTGTGATAGCACAAGTGGACTTTTACCCCATTTGTAGGCAATAATTTCATTGAATAGCTTTTAACATGACGTTTGGCATGTGCTTTATTCTTCTCCATATCGAGTATCCAGTCGTATATAGAATATCGAGGAGAGTATCGAGTAGACGTGCTGTAGAAAATTGATTCATAAAAGACGTTTGTAAAAAGTGACGAACTACAATGATCTGACATATCCGACTTTTTTGCAAAGAAATAAGCTGCCACTAAACAAAAGTCAAATGTCTAGGCTCTGGTAATACATCTATCGTCTTTTAGGCTCTCTGCCAGCATTGGCAGCACCACCACCAGCAGAGGTCATAAAAGTCGCCAACTCGTCCACACCCGTGGGTAACCAATTCAAGTCTCTCACTGACAAGCCAGGTAACCACTCAAGGCAAAGCCATTTTAGAAAAGAGGAACAAATCTTGCTAGAATATAGAGCAAACATTGATTTCCTTATCTCTGTAAAAAAGCAAGTGTTTTTGTCATATCTTCAAAAGAAAGGTGCACAGTCAACAAATTTAGTGAAAAGTGATGTCGTGTGCTACCTGAGATAGCGCCGGTCTCAGGTAACACGCTCGGCAACTTTCCTGCCACGAACATTTACACATCTAGGTAGCAAGCAAGTACAAGTACTTGGACTTAGATATGCGAAACCAAAATCTGTTCATCATACGATCAGTTTGTGGTAAGTTTGGAGTCTATATTTTTGCATTTATTAACGACTTTTCTTCCAAAAAAACATTAAAAGAGGGATTTGTCATTCGTTTCGTTGCTCTTTTTGTGGCAATCTTCGAGCAAGTAACAGAGAAATAGAGCTGGGAAAATGCATTACCCCAACCTTCCGGCCACGGGGTAGCCACCCTGGTAGCCACCGAGAGCCGAGGGGGAGCGGCCAATGGGAACCGCCGACAGCGAGGTAGCCAGCGTCTGATTGGCGGACTGAGGCCAGTCTGGCGTCAGCTGTTTGGAAGGGTTTGAAACTACAGGCGGTCACCGTCTAATCCTTAGCGTCTTCCCTGACTTTCTCTTTGGTGTTGCGTATATGTGCCGTGGAACATTTGAGAGTGAGACGTTGGATATGTGCAAATAAGTGCAAGGAGTGGAAGCCAAAGTTGAAGTATGACTATGCAACGAGCGAAAATAAAGTGCGGCATTCCATATCTTGCGAAACCATGGAAGGTCTGCAGTTTTATGGCGTGAATTCGAAGAGGCATCATCAATTGGTGCACAGAAAAATCCTAATATTTTGACTGCTAGTGTCGGTTGCTGGATCTGGATCTGGATTTGCTTCAGGCGAGGCTCATGCTCATTGTTGTCCAGGAAACCAGGTGAGTGTTTAAGTAAACTCATTGAGAGGAGACATAATGTATCGAATACAATTAAGGTGCCTGCCACTTCAACTTAGACCTACCTATGTACCTAATTATACCAACCGAAGTTTCCATACCATGTTAAGAACTTAATTTTAGCAACATAATAATTATTTTTGCAGTAGGTGATTATAGGATACCTATGCGTTTTTTCTACATTTCTACCGCAAGTTCTGCACAATTTTATTTAAACTAATTTATTTCCTACGCATGGTAGGGGAGAGCGGGGCCAGTTGAACCACTTTTTATATATTGACATGCACAGCGAGATCTAGTTGTCATATCGAAAAATGCACACAGCCATGAAAAAATAAGCTCTTTTGGCTTTATTTTAAGATATATAAAATTATGTTTCAAACATATTTTGCTGCCAAACGCATGCTTATAAAACAGCTCTACGCCCGTTTCAAATGACCCCGATGCGAGGGCCAGTTGAACCAGCCCATGGGGTCAATTGCACCTATTCTTAACAATGGGATGTTTTCCTCTTTAAGGCCACTTTCTTAAGGAGATATTTTGTCCGGTTTACTTTTCCAAATGCTACATTCAATAGGTCGTTGGAAAGCTAAAAGTGCAAAGTTCCTCATAATAGGTGACATAAAGCACATAGATTATGGTAAAATGGGCGGATGAGGAAAATGAGAAATATCTCAGGCATATAGTGTGCTTTCAAGCAAGAGGCTGGAGAAAAAGGGGTCAAAAATTGAGCTCTATTAAACTACTATTTCAGTTTAAAAGCTCATTTCAAAGGTGGACTATTTCCTTTAATGTTTACAGCCCCTGAACAATAACCATTGCAAAGGTCACCGGGGTCCATTGAAACGGCCTGTGGCCCTGTTTCAACTGACCCTCAGAGAAGCGTTTCAATTGACCCCATCCGCTTCCGCCATCTCGCACGCGCCGTAAAGCACATGTCAAACGAGCTGGAGGGACGGCATCATGCTGAATGAAGGGCCAAATAAGGTGTTATTCCGGAGCCAGGAGTTCTTCTTTCAGCAAACAAAGGTATATGAGATATCACAAAATATTCATTAAAACGTTTTCTCCCAAACGCCCCTCAAAAACACAAAAACAAGTGTCAAATCAAAATTACCGTCCGTTTGCCGCCCAAACGCCGTTGACAAAGGAAGTGGTCGAGCGCGGATGCGCAGTGGTGTCGGCAACGCCATATGTTGCATACTGTTGAAAATAAAGCCATGTTTCATCTGACCCCGTGTTTCAACTGGCCCCGTTCTCCCCTACCGCGCGGAGTAGCTTCTAGAATCCGTCGTCTCCCCTACCAGTAACCATGACAACCGGAGCCGCTGGAGGGAGGCCCAACGGTCAGGGGACGCTGCTGGCGGCTAAAGTCAACATTCCGGGCACTTCCGAGGCGACAGGGACGCGGGTGCGCGTGGGTCGGGCGCCGGCCCACCCGCCGTGCCAAGGGAGAGCGAATGGTGACCAGCTGACCGCTCCGGACGCCGCGCTGGGGACCTCCCCGCCGTGTAGAACGTCCACTATGACCGTCCGCCCACAGCAGGACTCTGAGCCGTCCAACACGGCTGTCAACGGAGCAGACGCGGACGGCCGGGTTTCTGGTCCGTCCCAAAATGATCATCTGCCATCTGCACATTATATGGTCGATGACTGCGAAATTGTAACAAATCAACGCTTTCCAGGAATCAAAACAGATTGACATTTTATGTCTGACTAACACACTGCTGACGGAAATCATACAAAAGGACTTTCTAGTTTCTAGCCCGCGCCGGGCCGGCCCGGTGCTCGGCGCCAACCGAGCCGGGCCGGGGGGGGGGGGGGGGGGGGTAAGCCGTCTGAACACCCCTCGTCTAAACTCGGCTCCTGGGCCACGATACGACGTGGGCGAGGGGGCGGTCGAATGGATCCCCTTGGTTTTTCGCAAATAATTGGCGTAAACAGTGGCTGATTGCGACGAAACTTTCAGTGCCCTCAGGTTTATCAATTCTACATCTACTCTTAAGATTTCATTATCCTGACCCAAATGACCTTTGACCTGTGATCTATTTATCTAGACCATGTTTGACCGGCATTGCGATTCGGCGTATGTCGGCTCGCATTAGCCGCGCGCTTGCAGTCCTTTCGTGGTTTCAACTTTCACGCGTACAAACATGTGATATGATGCTGGTCCCATGCATTATGGTGGGTGTCAGCTGTCAAGGTGACCCAGAGGTCAGGTCAGGTCATTGACTTTTGATGACCTCGTTTCACTTTTCGCGAGTTTTACTTGTTTCTAATCTAGTTTTTGGTGCTAATTTCGAATTTAGCAACCATTTGAACATTTACGAGGTAGTTTTGGTGCCTTCGTAACATGCTACGCAGCTGTCAGAGGCCGTTGACACCTACTGCGAATACCTGGCAGGACCGCTATTGGTTGATCTGACCTGACCTGACCTGGCCTAAGTGGATGAAAACATCATTGATTATCAAAACTAACAGGATATTCGTGATCAGCAACCCTAAAAAAGTAATATTCTTACTCAATGACGCTCTAACAGGTCCCGACTTGTACGTCGTTTGGGTCATTGTTCTGACCCGGAATGTCAACCAATGACCTTGGACCTTAAAAGTTAGGTATCATCGGCTTTCTCTTGTCACGGGCAACACGTTCGTTTATACCGCAAAGCTCTAGCTCGATCAGGGGCCAAACGGCAAGGCGGGATCCAACGGGCCCCCTCCCCCCCCCCCCTACCTTCGCTGCTGGCAAGACACCAATACCGGCGAGGGTTGAGTGGCATTCGAAAGAACGTCAAAAAGCAAGACGAAACATTTCGGTCATCTTTAGGTCAGGTCAAAGGTCCGGTCACCAGAGGCCATCAAAGGTAAAATGTTGCCTACTTCAACATTCTTCGAAAATCCGGTGCATACCTAACTTGGGAACCAGTAGAGCTACAGCGCTGCGAGAAATCGCATTCGATAACCCTTTTAACGCTCGATCCGTAATGTGTCCTCATAGTTGACCCCACGTCAAGGTTTAGTCTCTGGAGGGCAAAAAGTAAAGAAGCCGTTTTTACGAACTGTTTTGCTTCAATAGCTTCAATAACACAAAGGCCCAGGTAGCCACCTGGTAACAACAGGAGCGTCGTGGGTAGCCACCCGCCCACTTTTATGACCTTTGACCACCAGCACCGCCGGCCTCAGGACCAAGCCCACCACCAGCGGGCGTGAGTTCACCAGCGGAATCTGCTTATTGATTTTACCAATTGTCCGGTTATCTTGTCCTGTTTCCGTGTCCCGCTTCAGTTTTGTGCTTTATGAAGTCCGCCTTTCCTTTATTCTAAATAATTTCGAGTACATGAATCTAAAAACACCATTCATAAATCAGCTTGAATAATATTTTGTCCATTTACTACACTGGCAGGCTGACGGAGGCGGGTGTGCGGCTCTGGCGCAGCCGAGCCGTCGACCGCCGGAGCCAATCCGGCAGTCCGGCATTTCAGCTGCCGCACACTCGCCCGTCACAGGATCAGAGGCCTCCCGAGACAGGTTAGTTTGGTGAGCGATTTTTGTGTGATGCATACCTATTTATGTCCCAACGTTTGTGAATATACTTGATACGAGGCGATTTGTAGTTAGCAGCATTCACAAATGACACCAGTCTCATAATTATTGCATTACCAGTCCCCGGTATGACTCGTTTTCCTTCCTCTGGTGGCGTCACCAGTTCCCCGCGCGGCCAGCTGTCGCCATGACGGTGACCAGAGCCCGGGGACAGACGCTCAGTCGGGTGTCCGTCTCTCTGGAGGAGCCAGTGTTCAGCCACGGGTGGACAGGTGTACGGGGGCCAACAAATGGAAAACTGACATGTGCACATGTTATCGGAGCTGGCTTGGGTGATCTTCCCAGCTCGAGCATACATTATGATTTATCAGAATGTAAACCAATCTATTCAATGACATATTATGGAAAAATATATGATACAACGCCAGTCGTTGTATAACAGTGCCCTGACCCACCGGTATATTTTCAGCCATCACGATCAGCTGGTGTAGGCCATCCACGACAGATGAGTGCTATACAAGCCTGCCTCCGCCGTGCTTGGAGAGCTGACTCACCCAACGGCCGTTTGTGCCGCCACCAATCGGCTGCGAGTAGCACACACCGAGTGCTACTCGGGGCCGGATGGCTGCCCTGTCTTCCCTCAGGACATGGTGGGCTCTGCACTACCTGAGGGGTCTCGGGCGATAATAGAGACGCAGTCCGATGTGGCAGCCTCCACGTGGCGGATTGCGGGTCATGCTAATAGCCACACAGAGCCACACGTAAGTATTACAATGTAGTATTCACCAGATTTGAGTGTGTTGCAGGAGCCTGACATGTGACGTCCCCTGTACCGCTGTTTCCGCTTCTAATGACGACGTGGTGAAGTGTGCTCTGGAGCCCGGCTCTGCTGCTGACCAGAGGACTCACGAGCGTCACACCGGGCTCTCCGACAGTATCGTCCGAGTCCCGGTGGCGTCTGGACGCCACCGTCCGTTTACATATTGCTAAATTGATGTAATTGTTTAACACAGTAAAACGCCTATCGGGGCGACACACGAGCGAGCAAGAGTGTGAGAATTGTACTTGCGGTTTGCGAAGCGTTCTTCCAATTTCATTGTGCACGGCATCCTACTAACCGGTTTCTAGCAAAGTGCCAAATTTGAGCGTAATCGGGTTGGCTCGATAACGCGGCGCTGGTCAAATATTGCAAGACGCTAACGGCTCTCCAACGGGAAACTTCCACTGCAATGAGTGGACCGATATCCCTCGCGGGCCCGGGGGGGGGGCGTTTTTCGCCCCCCTGGCGAATATTTGCGATAGCTCCCGAACGCTTAGGGATAGGAAGGCGAAACTTTCAGTACCTTTTCTCCCATCAATTTGACATCTTCTGAAGTAAAAAATTTGGACCTAGCCCCCTTGATGACGTCACAAGGTCCATTTTTCTAGACCTCTGCACGGCAAACTTCGGCGTCACAGACGCAAACTTCAAATAGCTGCTAAAAATAGAGTTTTAGAGATAAAGACAAATTACGAGCACGGATGTGTAGCGTTTGACCTAGAGAAAAATAGAAAAATAGTTTTGGTGACCTGAGGTCAGAGGTCAGGTCAACGACCCCGAAATGTGGTTTTAGTTTTTCGCAAATAACTTCGACAAAAATGGTCCTAGAGCTACGGCAGTGGTACCATCGCATTCGCCTTGTCAAGCCGCGTCGAATGATATATATTTTGTTCGGAAAAGGTCAAATTTTATGTTGACCTCATGTGACCTCGAATGACCTCTGGTTGACCTTGACACATAAAAGGTCATTTATGATGGATTTGTACCCGCTGATCACGAATCTGGCATCTATTTTTCTCTAAGCCTTCATTTAGAGCTTCCGGATTGCAAAATTGTCTTATTTATTATTACTAACTTGAATCAGTAAAATAGCCTCTAGCAGGGATACTCTCCTGTGACCTTGACCTTTGAGCAGCCTTGTATCGTAAGATGAACCACAAATAGGGAACTGATAAGCCTCAAAACATTTCAAAACATCTTGGAAGTTAGCACGCAAGATATGCGAAAAAGTGCCAAGTTTGAGGTCAATTTTGAGCGTGACCTTGACCTTGACCTTTCACTTTGAGCACATTTTCAGAATCCTCAGATTCTCTTCTTTCGTTTGACAGCCAATTTTGCCGGTTTGATGCAGCCTGTCGTCCTCTAGAAGGCTTACTTTGAGATCACTACACATGTGGCGGTTTTTGCCTTTGACCTTGACCTCTGACCTTGAAAATTGACCTGAGGTCAAAAATTTTAGGTGCATTAGAATCGTCTCGTAAGGACCTTTCGTTTGGTATCGCTTTTGTTTCCGTAGCTCCCTTATTTACGGAGTTAGACAGGGGGGGCGAAAAACGCCCCCCCGGGCTGCGGTGGTTGGGATTACCCCCCGGGCCCGGCCGGGATATTGATATAGCTAATGCCCAGCGAAGGCCAGCCCGTCTTCACTAATTCAAACAAGGTGTGTCTGTTGGTGAACTCTGTCCTGTGTCACGTGAACTCGACTGGCGTCTGGGGGGGGGGGGGATTGCAGGGACGGTGCATTGGCCGTCAAGGGGCCGACCATACTGCTGAGCGCTGACCTCTGACCCCGCTCATAACCCGAGGAGGGAACAAGTGATGCAGCCGTTGATGATGTGGAGATGTTGAGGTGCTGTCCGCGGAGCAGTCATCGGTAGCATGTTGATGACGACGCCGTCTTTCTCAGGCGTTGGGCTTCAACTCTGTGGGCTGGGCGGGGACGAAGATATTCGTCAAAACAGCTTAAATTCAGCTCGGGCTTAGCCAAGATCTAGCCAAGATTCAGCCCAGCTTTAGACAACCTTTGTGTGCGCAGAACGTAGGGCACTGTGAGCAGAGCTGCTGTGATAAGACACCTGAGGTTCGAGCGGTCAGCGGCCGGCAACCGGCGCCCTGCTGGGGGGGGGGGGGGGGGGGGTGAACATCCACCCCTGTTGCTTTTCGCAAATATTTCCCAAAAATGGCGGCGTTGTAATATTGTTGTAAAAATGCTGTAAAAATTTCAGACAAAGGTTATTCAAGGTGTGAGGTCACCGCCTCAGTTCAAGAGACCGTACCTCGGAAAAACTTTCAATGTCTGCCATAGCTACATCGAGTGACGGATCGCTTTGAAACTTTCAGCCATTGGTAACAGCAACAGTCAGTAGGTACGTACAAAATTATAATCTCGAAATTCTTATATCGGTGATCTAAGGTCAGCTCAATTTTGCGAACTCTCCGTTACACGTAAGTCAATAGGAGAACTAAATTGAAAGGCGCTTCTTTTGGACACAAGTCATTTTAATTTAAACACTCTCAAACACTGAATCATAAGTAACTTTGACACTTAACCCGCGCCCCACTGGGGTCTGCGTATAACACGCCCTACTGGAGGGGGGGCTCTCCATAGCCCCCTCCTAACTCCGAAACTACTGGGCCGATCGTCAAAATTCAAACGGTGTCTAATAGCCCCGGAAAAGCTGTCGAGAGAAACCTAATTTCATTGACATCGAGGTTACCGATGATGTCACAGGTGACGTCAAAGTAAAAATTATTAGCATTTTGGCTTTTCACATTTTGGGCTCTGGCCGCCGTCTTACAAGTCAGATCAGGCTCATTTTTGGTTTACACACTCGTGAATAGATGCTCTAGATGGATACCTTGAGGGTACCAAACTTGTACTTTGATTTTCAGGTCAGGGTCAGGTCATCACAGGTCACGGAAATATTATATCATGCGTCGGTCACGTGACACATGTTTTATGGTCAATTCAGGCCATAGATTTCGAATTTGATGTCGTCTGTGTCATTCGAGGTCATTTTGAGTCGAATTTAGCTTAGGTCAGGTCACTTTCAGGTCAAAAAAGGTCAAATTTTGAAGTTAAAGTTTTTCGACAAAAAGATGTCTATTGGATGCAGTTTGAGCTCAGGAACACGATGGTGCTTTTTATATTGGTGTACGATGTCAAATAGTACATAAAAATTGATTTCAAAAATTAATAATTGTGAATTTTTTTGCAATAATGCGTATAACTTGGCCAATTTTGAAGATATTTAGCTAAAACTTGCTAGGATCAGTCATAAGCATGCGTTCTGTCACATGTTTTCCTTTTTTTGAAAAGTCAAACACTAAAAAAAATATAGAAACCAAAATTTTGAATATTATAAAAAAATCGAAATTTAAAAAAAATGAAAATCCGAGATAGCAGTTGGATAGAGCTGTCAATTCTGAGTCCTTTCATCTATAGAAATTGGATCTAGGTTAAAAACTGAGCTCTTGGGAGTGATTGCTGTGGTTCAATGTTTTGCGTCGAAATCGGCCGAACATGACGTCACTCTGACGTCATTTCCGGCCGACCTATGGTATCTATGAAATTTAAATTTTTACACAAGGTGTCAAATTGATGCAGCCGAAGGTACTGAAAGTTTTGCGTCGATACGTCAAGTGGTTTGGAAGTTATTGCAGAAAAACGGGAGGGGGCTGTGAATAGCCCCCCCCCCAAGTCGGGCGCGGGTTAACATGAAAATGGCACCCGTGACCTCTGTTTATGCCCCTAAGGTCATACCAGGTCAAGAATGGTACCTAACAGCAAAATTCGTGGCAGGTGGCGCCGCCGCCACGATTCTTTGACTGTGGGGTACTATAGTGAAAAGGGTCCATGCATAGTGAAAGGAGCTCATGGTGAAAAGAGCTCTTGCAAAGTGAAAAGGGCCCATAAGTACATTTCTTATGGCGTAATATTAACCCGGGCCCTGATGGGGGGCCATTTGCCCCTCTCCCTGTGGTTTTCTAGAATAGCGAAAAACAAACGGCGGCGCGCAGCGTCACCAAATTTTCTCTTTTCTTCCCGAGCATCAATTTGAAATCCTAACACAAACTTTCAAGTCACAGCACGGTAGGCGATCGGGCCGGTCTAGCCTCTCGAAACCTCAAAGACACTTTTTTCCGAAAATTGGAAAGCAACGCATACTAGTCGACAGAAAATTCATCAAAGATTGCGATTAGTGCATTTGCATGGCTCAGGAGACATTTTTTTTCGTAGACAAAAGCATCGTTAAAGACAGCGTTCCGTAACACTTCATAAGGGGGATAATCACAGCCGATCTTTACGCTCTTTGAATATTTTGCGGAACGATGAAATTGCTAGGTGTTGAGTATCCATTTTGCATGGAAAGTGAAATTTAGATGTTTAGACGATTCCGCCATAGAAAGCAAGTAGACAAAATCAGT